GGATGCTGCGTGCACGTTGCAGGGCGCGGGTGTCGGAGGAGACCCGCGCCCCGGCCGTCGTGGTGGTGCTCTGCCACGACCGCGCTGGCAGCGAGCTGTTACCAGGCCGTAGCCTTTCCCTGGAGACGGCGCTTGCCTTGTGCAGCAGCGGGCCGAGTGCCGGGGCGCCGCGCGGCCGGGGACGCGCTGTTCGCAGGCACGGCCTGCTGTCACGCCAGTCTCCGCTGATCCCCAGAGCGCTCGCTCCCTCCCTCCCCACCGCAGCTGCGAGCTGGGCTTGGCTCTCCCTTCGTCCCGAGCCGGCTGCACTCGGGGTTCCTGCCCTCGGTGGGGCTCGTCCTCCAGCGCTGTCCGTGTCTGCATCGCAGCTCTTGGGGCAGCGACAGGAGACTCCCGCTATTGCCTGTACCAGTCTCGTGCGGTGCCTTCAGACCTGGGAGCTCTGCCGCCGTCGCTGGGCCCCTTCCCCTGGGCAGCTCCCAGGTACTGGGGAAGGAGCCGGCCCGCGGGGCTGGGGGCTTCCCAGCAGGCTCTCGAGGGCTGTCAGTGCTCAGCAGCTGCTCCGGGGAGAGACTGGGAGATGTGCTCCTGGGAGACTGCCGGGCCAGGGTGCAGCCAGCCTCGAGAGCTCTGCTGCCCTCGGGGGCACGTCACACCAGCCTCGGGGGCACGTCACACCAGCCTCGGGGCACGCGCGCGAGCTCCGCTTCTCAACTCCCGCCGGCTCCTGGTGAATGGGTCTCCTGGGAGCCCGCCCTGGGTGCCGCAAGCTTCTGCAGGGGCGCGGCTGCCTCTTCTCCCCGCTTGGACCCTTGGCTTCAGCCCTCCATCCATGTGTTCAGCCCCTCTCCCCCAGACCTAGCAGATCTCCCTGCCGCTTGCTCAGTCATCGTGTGGCGGGGCTGCCCCTCCTGCCAGGTTGGCTCAGCCCACAGGTGCTGTTGGCCGGTGTCCGGCTCAGAGCGGGTCGTGCCTGTTGGCCGGAGCCAGAGCTGCACGACGTGGAGTTAACAGCACAGCAGGAAAGTGCTGGCAGGAGTCCCCTTGCCTTGCCGGGCTGCAGGGAGAGGCCAGGGCCGGGGCCGAGCTGTACGCTAAGAGGGGGCTGGGTCTGCGCGGGGCGTGGGAGGCCTCCGAGCATCAGCTGTTGTGGAGCCAGCTGCATTTGGAAAGTGGTGCCTCGGCCATGCCAAGATGGAAAAGCCCCGTGTCGAGGCCCAGCCGCCTCCTGTCTGCTGCATCTCGCTGCAGACACGGCGCATGGACGCTGCCTCCTACCTCAATAAGCTGATGGCTGCATGCCTGAGGAAGGCAGAGAGGGGAGGAGAGGCGTGCATGTGTGTGGCATCGTGTGTGGGCAGTGGGTACGAGCTCCTCAGTCAGGGAACGCCTTTGTGCCGTACTCTCAGAGGAAGGTGACCCGGGGCCAGCCCCATGCGGGGGAAGCTTCCTCCTGCCTGTCCTGCGTGCGCTGCTGCAGGGGCCCCCCGGCAGGTTTTCCCTGGCAGTCCCAGTGCTGTAGCCCCGAGCCAAGGCTTTGTTGCCTCTCTTGCAAGCATGACAGCTGGGTTGAACCTTGCTGCTGGGCAGAGCGCTGCTGCCGTGGCGCTCTCCAGCTGGCTGCAGGCCGCGAGGCGGGACACGGACTTGGTGCTGCGTGGGGAGCGTGCCCCTGCACGGCAGCACCCTCCACCCTGGCGCTCTTTGCTCTGCTGCAGGTGGCTGCTGCGGCTCCGACCAGAAGCAGTACGTGTTCGGGGGCTGGGCCTGGGCCTGGTGGTGCGTGTCGGACACGCAGAGGTAAGGAGATGACCTCCGGGCGCGTGGCTCGTGGAGGAGGGGCTGGGTCAGTGGCACCTTGAGGAACGTGGGATCCACCAGACGCGGTGGGAGCCCAGCTCGCGGCTAGCAGCCCACCCCTCCGGTGCTTGCTGCACGTGGCTCTGGCCTCACAGCTTTTCTGTCCCGGTGCTGCAGCCAGGGGAGTCAGGCAAAGTGCTTGCTGCACTGAGTTCAGACCAGGCCCCACGTGGCCGGTGGGACTGGAGGAGCCTAGAGACGCCTCACCCACCTGTGGCAGGTGCCTGCGGCAGTGGGCAGGGAATATGGGTGGTTGGAGCTCGTGTCCTGGAGGTGCACTGACCCTTGTTGCTTCCCACTCTAATGGCTGCTCAGGGTGGGCCAGCACACCGGTGGGACCCTGGGGTGCCCTATCCCCCTGTCCCTGGGACTCGCTTGCCTTGCCTTCGTTGCTGTGCCTGTCTTGGAACTAACGTGCTGTGACGTGCTGCTGTTGCCCTGCTGTAACCCCGCGGGCTGCAGAGCCCAGGGCATTGCCCTCTCCTTCACTCAGTCCTCTCCGGTCCCTCCCCCCATCCCCATAAGTAGGAACTAACTGGGGAAAGGAGAGACGAGACTTTCTGGTTTTGCAGTGACAGGGAAGTGGCCCTGCCTGGGCACTCTGCTCCCTGCAGGCGGGGTCGCCAGTGACTGCCCTCAGCATTGCAGGAGGCCCAGGATCGCTGGCAGGGTGGGTGCAGCTCCCTCCCCTCCTTGTAGCTGTCCTTTCCACCCGCCCCCCAGGCTGCTGCCAGCAGGCTCCCAGCTCTGGTGTGATGCACCCTTGGCACGGAGGCACTGCCACTGCATGCTGAGGCTTGCACTTGTGCTCGCTGTACCCACGGAGACCTCCAGCTGCAGCTGCACTGGGGGCAGGAGCAGCCCCACATGGACACAGGCTTCCCCATAGGCAGCTGGAAGGCCCGGGCGTGTGTGAGCACCAGGAGACGTCCCCCGAGGTACCGCAGACAGCCAGGTGCCCGGGCAGGATGCCCTGCCAGGTACCACCAGCAGTTGCTTCCACTGTGTAAACACCAGGGGGAGGGGCATGCAGGCAGGATTTGGAAGAACTTGCCCTGCTTTCAGACCAAAAAAAGATCCCCGTGGCTTTGTGTGGGAGCCCAGCTCGGAGAGAGCCACATAGGTTTGGGAGCAGCCGGCTGCCCAGCAGAGCGCGGACTCTGTCACGGGAAAGATTTATGTTTGCCAAAGTTTTCTGCTCACAGTCTGCCCCCAGAGGCCCCCAACCCCACTCTGTGCTCACAGGCCAGCCCGAAGCCGTCTCACACTCAGAGCCAGGGCAGGAGGCTAGACCGGGTCACGCTTGTCTTCTAGCCACAGCTCGGCAGTAGCAGCTCCCGGTCACCTTGGTCGAGAGGGGCTGGGGCATGATGGGGACCCTGCCCTGCAGCTGTCGGCTGGAGGGAGTGGGCAGGGGTGCTGTGGGAAGCGCAAGGGGAGAGAGCGAAACCCGAAAGTCCCGTCCATGGTGTGCAGCGGGTGTCTGTTACTCTCTGGTAACCGCTCTGTGTATTTGCTGTCCTACCCTTGTTCATCGCTGCTCAGACTGTCTTTGGAGGTTATGACCATCCTCTGTCGCTGTGAGAATATTGAGACGTCGGAGGGGGTCCCACTGTACGTAACAGGGGTTGCACAGGTAATGACCCACCCGCTTCCTAACCTCGGCTCTAACTCTTCTCCCCCTTCTGTTTCGAGCAGCACAGCAGCAGCAGGATAACGCACCACTAACGCTTTCCTTCCTGGGGCAGCTCAGGCTCAGCGACCCCTCCCGGCGCTCTGTAGCTCTGCGGGGAACGTGGAAAGAGGCACACAGACACCTTCCAAATTCAGGCCCCCGGGCCAGCGCCTTCCAGTAATGCTGCAGACATTGGGTGCTCCAGGCCAAGGCCTTCCCTGGGAAGCTGGGAGCCACCCCTGGCAGGGTTAGGTTGGATGGGCAGGGGAGCAGCCAAGCTGGTTTCTCTTCCTGGCAATGAAATCCCTGTTGAGACTGGCTCGCTCGCCGGCTCCAGGCACAGCCCTGTGGCTCCTTGCACGCAGGCGACGCCTGTCCCTAGTGGGACTGAGTCCAGGAGGGCTGAGCAGGAAGAGCCTGGCTTGTTGCACAACGTGCTTGTGCAGGCCTGAGTCGGTGCCTGCTGCCAGTCATTCGGCACCACGCTTCCTCGCTCCTCCCCAGCCAGCTCGCCCTGGGCACCAGGGAGCTGGCAGAATCGGGGCCTGGTGCAGCACCGCTGCTGCTCGCGGCACTCGGGGGGCCTCTAGAAGCCTTCCCTGGGGAGGCGAAAGCCGCGCGCTGGCTTCTGCCTCAGGTGCAGGCATGCCCGGGGTAGGTCCTGTGGGGAGACGTCTCTAACCCTCTGCTGCGGCTGAGTCAGCTCAGGTCAGACTGTCACCATGGAGCAGAGCTGTTGCTTCCATCCCCTGCGTGTGTGCCCCGGGGCAAAGCAGCCCGGTGGGCAGGGCAGCAGCCGTGCCCTCGCTACTCGCTGGTCCAGGTGCTGTCTTGCGGCCGTGTAACGTGAATCGCAGCCGCTTGCCTCCCTGTGGGGCTCAGTTGGGCTCTGTGTCCCTGAGATGGCTCCAGTGCCTCGGCTTGTGCCTGCCCAGAGAGCAGCCTGGGCACCTGCCCTTCCCTGCCCTGCTGCTCCATGTAGCCTGGGCCCAGCAGCACCAAGCCCCTTGCCTTGTCTCTCCCCGTTCTGCCAGCGCACAGACCTGCATGGGCCCGCCGGGGTGGGAGAGGAGGAGGGACTAGCTGGACCCCATTGCTGCGGGTCCCTGTCTCTGGCTCACACTGTGGCCCAAAGAGTTGAGGTCTGTCCCCGTCTGCATACCTCTGCCCAGACACCAGCAGTGAACTGCTGCTAGCCGCCTCCGAATTAGAGGCAGCACAGCAGAGGGGCTGGCCCTCCTGCTGGGCGTCAGCACCTGGGGTTCAGAGACTCCGCTGTCTGGAAGGATGACTGGCGGCCGACCGGAGCGCGTGGACCCGGGGACAATTCAGGGAGTGGCCGATCAGTGCAGAGGGCTACACCGGTGGCTGTAGGGAGGCCACTGTAGGATGGCCACATCCTTGGGCAGGCCAGTGCTGTCTGGCCAGTGACCCACAGACATATCCTGCTCGCTCTGTGCAACTGCAGTGCCCAAGTGTTGCCTTGGACAGACTGGGGTCCTGGGGTGGCTCGGTCCTGCCCCACCAACCAGCCCACCGGGAGGGCAGGGGCCCATGCAGCCCTGCCCTAGACCTGGCTCTGCTCACACAATGTCTGCGCATTACTGGAAAGCTGCTTTGCTCCAGCCCCGGTGACCTGCCTGCCGGAGAGCGCGATCCCCAGGCAGCCTCCGGTGTCACGGCGTCCCGTCCCCTGCAGAGTGCGGGTGCCAGCCCGGGGCAGGAGCTGCAGGGTCGACGCTGGTGGCCTGTTGCCTGGAAACGTGCAAATGTCTTGCGTTTTTTGGCAGGATTTCCCTAGAGATAATGACGTTACAGCCCAGGTGCGAGGACGTAGAGACGGCGGAGGGGGTAGCTTTAACTGTCACGGGTGTGGCGCAGGTACGGTACTCCAACCCATCCTCTCAGGAAATGCATGCCGCTAACCTGCCCCTTGGTTTCTCTCCTCTTCCAAGGTTGCTGCCGCCCAGAGCCGGATGCCCTCTGCTCTGCAACGATGTCTCTGCTGCACCGCACAGCCTGGCGTGGCCGGGCCGCCCGAGAGCGTGTCCCCAGGGGGCAGGGGGGGGCCACACTGTCTCTCTCCCTGCACACGGCCATCGTTGCGTCTTGCCCACCCATGGGCACGGAGTCAGCCAGACTCAGCTGTCCGAGCAGGGGCATCCCAGGCGCTCCGTGCCACTTCCCAGAGCGAAGCGGCATTGTCCGAGGACCATGTCCCTCACGTGGCTGTGGATTGCCCCACAGCCTTTGCCAGCAGCCATCGCACTACATGGCAGCTCAGTATTGAAAACAGGGCTGGTTTTACAGGGGTAGGTGCTGGGAGCTGCTTTGGCCCTGGGCTCTGTGGCCGATGAGTTCTGAGCCCGTTCCCCAGGCGTTTCTCGTGGCTGGCGTGGTCGGTGTCTGTGCCAGAGGATGTCACTGGGCAGGGATGTGCCGGGTGCCGTGGTGCAGGGCTTGGCTCCCTGCCCTGGCAGCCAGACATGTTGTGAAAAGGAGAAAGGGCCCCGGCAGCTCTTTGCTGCCGGTCTCCCAAGGGAGCGTGGCCGCGGCCGAGCGGTTCTCAGAGTACGTGTCACCCTGCATGTGCAGACGTGGCTGCTCGTAGCAGGCCCCTCCCCATGTCTCAGGCAGCCGCGTGCTGCTTTGCCTAGGACAGTGCTGCCTCAGACTTCATGCCCGTGGCATTTTGCGGGCTGCTGCGTGTGACCTGAGGGCGTGTGCACTCCTGCAGGGTGATCCTGCCCCGTGCGGGTGAGAGCGCAGGCTGGGCTGCCCCAGGGTCTCCGTCTCTGCCACAGGCCTCCTGTCAAACCTCAGTCAAGTCGCTTGCTGGCTCAGGGGGGCAGCAGGGAGCTGTCTCCGAGCTCAGGAGGCGGTGCTGGTGTGGTGCAGGGATGACCCGTTTTCATGCGACTGACTGAGGTTCCCGTGGCCGTGCGTGTGCTGAGGCCCCTGCGTTCTGCACCCCGCGAAGGCCCGGCTTACCAGCGGTTTCTCTGCCATCACGGTGTAGCTGAGATGGTGCAAGAGCCAGCTGCCTTGGCGTCTGGAGCCCCAGGCTGCCCGGCACCTGCTCGCGCCTGCTGTGGTTGTCTCTGATTTGTGTTGCACCCTCTTGCCTCCCTGCCAGGGCTCCAGTGGGAACCTGGGTACTGTCTGCGGACCAGATGTTTGCCCCCAAGGGCGTAGGGGCCAGGGCTTCTTGCATGGCTCGGGGCTGGACCGAGGCGAGGTGTGTCCGGAAGCGGGGGATCAGCAGGAGAAAGGAGCGTTGCTGCACCCACGTGCGGCTCCAGCAGGAAGGCTGTTTCCTGTTTGCAGGGACAGTTTTCTGGTCTTCTCGTCTGCAGCCTCAGGCTGGGGCGAGAGCCAGGAAGTGCTGCTAATTGGGAGCCAAAGTGAAAGGCATCTGGAGGCCTCGGGGTGGCAGACTGGCTCCGGCGGCAGCTCGAGGCCCAGGCCTTGCAGGCTGCAGTGCACGAGGGTGTGGCTGCAGGGAGCTGGGCGGGGGGGCGTTGTTGTCCTCGTGGGCTCCTTGCCCGAGTTTGTGCTCGGGCTGGGGGTGGTGCTGTGGCTCCGACTGCCCCTTCCCGGCAGGAGCCTGGGCTGGCTGCCAGGAGCCCGTGTACGTGCCCAGGAGGGCTGTGCCTGCTCCTGCGCAGACAGCTGGGCCGGGCTGGGCCCTGGCTGGTGTGTCCCCAGGTTCTGGGAAGCCTGAGCCCAGCGTGGGGGGTACACGCAGGCCCTGCCTGCCCCCCCTGCCCTGTCGTTGTGTCCAGGGAGGCTCTCTGGCCCCCCGTAGTGAGGAAGGGGGCAGTCCGGCTGGGCCCTGGCTGCCCTGCTCCCAGGGGAGTGGGTGCGCCCAGTCTGTTATGCGAGGCCAGAGGCAGGACCCTTGGGATGCATGTGGGGGTCAGGGCAGGAGCTGCCGGCCACTGCAAGAGCCCCGGGTTTACCCTGCGTTGTCGTGGTAACGGGACACTGGCTGATGCCTGGGCCACGCGTGGCAACCTCGGGGTGCAGCGTGACCCAGGCCTCTTGGAGGATGGGCTGAGATTTCCCTCTGAGCAGGGCCAGAGCACGGTGGCCCTTGAGATCAAGGCGTGGAGGGGGGGACCACAGCTTCGTCTGCTCTCCTCGTCCCCCGCCCCCGCTGCTGGGCAGCAAGCAGCAGCAGGCAGTCGCGTGGCTTTGTTGCAAACCCCTCGTCTACCGGACGCGTTGGCTTCAGGCCGGCTCACCGCAGCAGTGCTGCCTCACCGGCTGTGGCAGGCGTGCGCCTGGAGCTGGACACCAGCCCAGCCTCTTGGGACCAGCTGGGAGCCGCCTGCCTCGGTGGAGATGATGGCAGCAAGGACCACACGGTCTGTTCTGGGCTCTGGGGGCTCCCCTGGGCAGCCCTGACTCCCGCTGCTCCCCAGCCTCACTCTTTGGCGCCCACAACAACGCGCCCAAGTCCTGGCCACTCTGGGCCAGCATGTCTGTGCCGCCGGCCCCTCCCTCCCTCATCGGGGTTTCCTTCCTCCCCAGGTGAAGATCATGACGGAGCGGGAGCTGTTGGCCGTGGCCTGCGAGCAGTTCCTGGGGAAGAACGTCCAGGACGTGAAGAACGTGGTGCTGCAGACGCTGGAGGGGCATCTCCGCTCCATCCTCGGTGCGTGGCAGGGCACGGTGCTCCTGCTGCCTTTGGGATCGGTAGACACACCGCGGTCGCTTCCCCCACACTTGCAGGGCAGGGTCCTGCTCCAGCCCTGGGGGCAGGGGGTCTGTGCGCGCGGTTGTGGTGCTGCAACGTGGCCAGCCCGCTCGGGGTCCTGGGGGCAGCGGGGCCTGCGCTGTCTGTGGCTGCTGCCAGGCCTGCCCTGCACTCACCTCTCCGGCTCTGCCCCCCCTGCCAGGCACCCTGACGGTTGAGCAGATCTACCAGGACCGGGACCAGTTTGCCAAGCTGGTGCGGGAGGTGGCAGCCCCGGATGTGGGCCGCATGGGCATTGAGATCCTCAGCTTCACTATCAAGGTAAGCGCCAGTGGGGCCTGGCTTCCTTCACAGGGGCTCTGTAAAGGCTGCTGGGCTTGGCAGCTTCCCTGGGGGTCCCCGGGTGCAGCCACGTGGCACAGACTGTGCTTGGATCCCTGCCGGGGTCTGTACCGGCCATGACTGCCCCCCCCTGCCCAGCTCCTCAGCAGGCTGCACCATGCTGGGCCCTCGTGGCTGCGGATGGACGTTCCTGGGTGGTGCGGGCTGCGCTGACGGTGCTGCCGGCATGCCGCACCCCCCCCAGGACGTCTATGACAAGGTGGAGTACCTGAGCTCGCTAGGGAAGACACAGACGGCGGTCGTGCAGCGGGACGCGGATATCGGCGTGGCCGAGGCCGAGCGCGACGCTGGCATCCGGGTACGTCATGCAGGGCTGGGGCCCGGGCCCGTTGGTGTGGGCAGCTCCCCTCTTGCCCCTCCACGGCTACTGACAGCAGTACCCCCCCCACCCCGCAGGAGGCCGAGTGCAAGAAGGAGATGCTGGACGTCAAGTTCATGTCGGACACCAAGGTGGCTGACTCCAAGCGCGCTTTCGAGCTGCAGAAAGCTGCCTTCAGCCAGGAGGTCAACATCAAGGTGAGGGGCCGCCTTGCCCTGCCGCGCTCCTGGGATCTGTGGTGCAGCGATGCCTGGGCTTTACCATGGGGATTCCTGGGCTTCTGGGCTGTACTGGTTTCCACCTTCCTCTCTGCCCCCTGCTCCTTGTGTCGGGGTTTTCAGCCTCTTGCAGAGGTGCTGGGTGCTGCCCGGGCTGGGGATGGGGCTGTGCTGTCAGTGCTCCTGCTGGCACCAATCCCTCAGGGTCCTGGCTGGAGGGTCTTGCCCCTGCGCTCAGGCTCAGCCCCACACTGCACTGGAAGGGATTTTCCCTTTGCTCAGGCTGGTCTGGACTGGGGGGGTTGCCTTCCTCTGCAGCGGGGACATGGCCTTGGGCTGGGGTGTCTGCAGCATCCATGAACCCCCTGGCAGGACCAGGATGTTGGTGGCAGCAGCCACCCCTGCTTTCCCAGGGGAAGGGGTAGGAGCGATTCCTGGGGCTGTCAGGGGCGACTGTGTCGTGCTGCTCAGAGGCTGGGCATGGAGTTTGTCTGGGCTGGTTTGGATGGGGCTGATTCTGCCTCAGGCAGGGGCTGGACTGGATGTGACCCCCTGCAGCTCCCTGCCAGCCCCGTGGCTCTGTGATGATCTGATGTTGGGAAGAGCTTGCTCCTGTCCCGCACCCTGTCTGGTCCTGTGGTGGGAGCATGGGTTTGTCCTGGCTCCAGGCTCAACCTTGGCTCTCTGGGAGGTTCCTTATTCCCTGTGCCCAGGGGCTGCAGTGGGAGGGCGGTGAGGGGACCGGGCACCTGGGCTGGTAGTGACGGCTCCGCTCCCTGGCTTCGGCCCGCAGACAGCGGAGTCGCAGCTGGCCTACGAGCTGCAGGGCGCCCGGGAGCAGCAGAAGATCCGGCAGGAGGAGATGGAGATCGAGGTGGTGCAGCGCCGGAAGCAGATCGACATCGAGGAGAAGGAGATTGTGCGCATGGACAAGGAGCTCATTGCTACCGTCCGGCGGCCGGCTGAAGCCGAGGCCTTCCGCATGCAGCAGATCGCCGAGGGCGATAAGTGAGTGCCGGGGCCCAGCCAAGACCCCTGGGGACCCTCCCAAAGCTGCTCTGCGAGCTGCAGGCCCAGCGCTGTCCCCCGCTCCCATCTGGGGGCTGCGCAGCATCGTGCTCAGCCGGGGCTGTTGCCTTGCAGGGTGAAGCAGATGCTGATCGCGCAGGCGGAAGGTGAGAGGATCCGGAAGATCGGGGAGGCGGAGGCTGCCGTCATCGAGGCCATTGGCAAGGCCGACGCCGAGAAGATGAAGCTGAAGGCTGAGGCCTTGCAGCAGTACGGAGACGCTGCCAAGATGGCGCTGGTGCTGGATGCGCTGCCGCAGGTGAGCCGGGGGCCAGGGTGGGTCTAGGGTCCGTGGCCTGCCCGGGTGAGCAGGTGGCAGGCCGGGGCAGGCGGGCAGCGCCTCTGCGTCCACCGGGCCCTGTCCCTCGCTGCCATCGCTCATCCCGGCGCCTGCCCTCTGCCTCTCAGATCGCCGCCAAGGTGGCAGCTCCCCTGGCCAAGGTGGAGGAGATAGTGATCCTGAGCGGAGATGGCAGCAAGGTGACGACGGAGCTGAAATCCCTGCCTCCGTGCACGCCCTCACCGGAGTCGACCTGGCCAAGGTGCGTCCCTCCGCCGCTTCCATGCCTGCTTCTCTCAACCCCCAACGCAGCCCTGCCGGCCTCTCCCGTCCCTGAGGCCAGGAGTGTTTGGGCATCTGGGAGCTCCCAGACCCTTTGCTCCTGCTGCTTTACGCTGGGGGGTGGGCTGGGGGGCCCCCCTGCTCTTGCCCCTCTGCATGTGACTGCCAGCGTCCTGGGCGCAGCATCATGGCTGGGGTGGGCACCGCTGGCTCCCCCTGTGTCTGCTCCCTATGGCGCCGCCCCTGATGGCCTCTCTCGCCCTCTTGCAGATCCCCCTGATCCAGAAAGCCACCGGGGCCCAGGCGTGAGCCCGGCCGGGCCGGCGGGCGGTGACGGCGCCCGCGCCGCACTCTGATATCCACTGCCTCGGACACTCGGGAACCCTTTCCTACCAGAGACGGTCGGAGTCCCCGTTTCAGCTCTGGTGCCTTATTTTGTAGGACCAGGAGGATGCATGTTCCCTTCCGCTGGGGGTGGGTTTTGTAACGGGCCCTGTCTCTCGTCGTGTTCGTCCTGAGCGGAGCCACCCCGCCACTACCCCGGCAGCTTGTGTGGTCGTGGCATCTCGGTGCCTTGCAGTTCTCTGTCCTCTGGCAGCTGGGGGCTGAGGCGGGCAGCCTGGCCTGGGCTGTGCAGACTGCCTCCCAGGGCCGGCCCCGCAGCCTTCTTGGAGCTGCTGGACGAGAAAGCTGAGGCCCCCCGCCCCATCC